CAGGCCCGCAAGGGGGGGAGGGGGGGGAGAAGCGCAAGGGGGGAGGGGGGGAAACGAGGCCACCGGACGGAAAAACCCACCAAGGGGGGGGGGGGGAGGAGGGGCCAAAGGGAGACCCAGGGGGGGGGGAACCGCAACAAACAAAGGGGGGAGCCCAAACCCGGGGGGCCCGCAGGGGGAGGGGGAGAGGGGGGGAAGGGCAGAAAAGCCCAGACAGACAGCGGCCCCAAAACAGAGAGGAACCCGGGAGGGGAAAACAGGCCCAAGGGGCCCGGGGGGGAGAAGGAGGGGGAACCGCGCCCGGAGGGGGGGCCCGGGGCCCACCACCGCCAGGACCCCCGCGGCCACCGGGAGCCCCGGGACACCCGGCCCCGCGGGGGGGGCCCGGGCGGGGCGGCCCGGCCGCCGGAAGGGGAAGGGCCGGCGCCCCCGGGGGCCCGGGGGGCGGGGGGGGCTGGGGGGCCGCCGGGGGGAGGGGGGGGGGGGGGGGGGGGGGGGTTGCAACGGTCACAAACTCTCTCTCAAGAACTAAATTCATACGTCATGTTTACCGAGCTAATGGTGTGTGTGTAGAGTTCAGCAACAGAAAGACGATTCAAAGTACTATCGTTTTGCACCCAAATCCAACCCTCAGTTAACACTGAGGCCATTACGCCAAAGTACTAAATAGTTTTCGCCCTTTCGACCCGAGAGCGGCTATTTACCATACACGCCCTTAACTTTATACCCAACCCTGGTGCATGCGCACAGCATTCGCACGCACCAGGCCCGTGTACGTACCTCCCAGTAGTCTTCCATCATCGGTTCGGACCCTGGCGGGTTCTGCGGGGTCTGGGCCATCCACATGCTTGCAGGCCTCTCCGGGAAATATCTGCGGGGGAGCAACAAGGAAAAAAAAAACAGGGAACCACTTATAAATAGGCGTGTTTTCCGCTCCATCAGGTACTACAAAAACCAGGTTCCACACGCCCTGAGAGAGGATCGCGGATGCTTTTTTCCTTTTATACAGGTGCACTAAAATCGCTGTGAGGAAAAACAACGAACACAGTGGTAGGGGGAGAAGGGGCGGTGCGAGTCAAAGACTGCGTAGTATTCCCCTGAGTGCTGCCGCTGTATTTGAAGCAAGGTCTGGATAACCCTCACGTCAAATAGCCAGCCGACACGTAGGTTTCGCGGGTGCAAAGGAGCCGTTGCGCCGTAAGTTGCACAAGATACAATACCCCCACGGCCGATTTTCAAAGCTCGACTTCTACTCTGAAGCAAAAAACAGCGACGGCGCCGAAAATGGTGGCGTTGAAACTGTCTGTCTCGCCAAGAGCTTGCCGAAAGCGCATGATGTGGTTGCGGCATCCTCTCCGTCGCGAATGTACCGTAAGAAGAGGCGGAGAGATGGCACCCCCCCCTACACCGACGTTAAAAGCTTGATTGCTCCACAACCAAGCGGGTGCGGAACGAGTCCGATGCGTCCACGGAAAGCCCTCAACGAGATGCTTCCTAAACCACCTTTTACGGTGTTGGCACAAGCTTGGCTGTGGAGCAATTGAGCTTTGAAAATAGGTCTAGGGGGGAGTGCAATGTCAACGCCTCTTACGGTAATCAGGGTTCGAAAGTCGGCCAAGGGGATGTGGTATCTTCTTGCAACTACCATACACCCTAGCCGCACCTCGTGTCCATCGAAAGAGATGCCTCGAGCAGCGGGATGCTGATGGAGAAGTTCCACTTTTCCGGGCGGGTCAACACCCTCTGCACCATGGCAGGAGTACCGTACGGGGGCCAGTCCTCCGCCACGGGAGCCGCGGGGCCCCCCGGAGACTCTCCTGGCCCTGGCGGACCGTAGAAGCAGTCCAGCTCGCAGTAGTTGTCTGCGACAAGTCATTCGCGCCACCATGATTAGGCAAGGGATACGAACAGGACGAAGACACAGGCACTGAATGGGAGCGTCGGTTGTCTTACGAGCAGTGTGGGGAGAGATACTGAGCGGGAAAAGCAAAATGCTCTCACGTACACGTCCCGCAACCGGCATCGTGCGCAAGCTTGGATGTGTAAATACGCGGCCCTTCCACCGATGTACGGGGCTTTCTTATTACTCACGACCACGGGTGCAAAAGGGTAACTTAATTAGCGAAAATATGGTTGTTCCGGGAGATTCAAGGTCGCATAGGGCATGGACCACACCTCCGGAATCTACCAAAAAGGCACATCTCCTCGTATGCTATCTCTTGACTAGGGACGAGCATGTAGGCCTAGACACGGGGTGCGGCAAAGCCAGCTCGGTACCTCACGAACACCAGGCGAGCACTCATCCATACAAAACAAGGGGACTTCGCAAACCCGTCGTCCTGTACAGCACACCCCACTATCAGATATACGCCTCCAACGAACGTCGTAACGACCCCGCCTCCCGCGGCCTCTCCCTTACCGAAGTAGACACTCAGCAGCAGGTAGTACTCCGCCATCGTCGGGCAGATGTACAGCCCGCCGGGCTTCCTCCCCTCGCCACGCGCCCTGTCCTCTTCCTCCACGCCGTACTCCGGCATGGTCAGCAGAATCCGAGAGTGCCCGAGCTCCTTGCCGGTGTCCACCAGCAGCATGAGGTCGAACGGCTGCTCGGTAATCTCTCGCCAACGTAGCAGCTGCTGCTGGCCCTCCCCTCTCTCAGACCAGTACAACTCGTCCTCGCGATCACCACCGTGGCCCGACGCGCCCACCCCCGCGCTAGAGCCACGGTTAAGTCTTGGCCCCTGTCGGGGAGGATCTCTCGCGCTCCTGTCGTACCCGCCGCCGTCGCGCGGTCGCCATCCCTCTTCACCGTGGACCGGCAACCCGCCACCCCTGCCACCGCGAGTGTTGAGATTCGCGTACGAGCTTCCAGCCCTAGGCCCGGCGCTGCTGCCGCTACGGGTGCGGCGAACCTCGTCGTTTCGCCGAGCGCCCGGGCTGTTCGCGTCACCGCTTCCGCCCGAGGAGCGTTCGCGCGCCATCGTCGTGTGCTTCCGCAGGTAGACGGGGGCCCCGTTGACCATGTGCCAAGCCCGCGGGAGCACCTCGGCGTCCTGGCTGTGTGCCCCCTCGTCGAGGAGCTCGTCCTCGACGGCCTCCCCGCCGACGAATTCCCCGCCGTCCGCTGCGGACGGATACCCTTGAGAAGCCTTGGCCTCTCTCTGGGACTGCGTCGTCGAAGAAGCAGCAGTAGCAGCGGCAGCCGCCGCCGCTGCCGCCGCCGCCGCCGCTGTGGTGGTCGGGGTGTCGAGACGCGGGGCAAGAGCTACCAGCAGCTGTGCCCCCTTCAGGTGAAGGGCGATGCGCAGCACGGACGCGTTGCGCTCCCTCTCTGTGGCGGAGGCTGATGCCGTTGCCGTAGCGGATGATTCTCCGGGGCCACCGCCATCGGCGACCCCGCTAGCGCCGCTCTCTGGGCCGTCGGCGGCGGCGGCGCGAGCGCCGGTGTGTTCCGCGTGTGCCCGGGTTGGTCTCTGCTGGAATTACAAATACAATGCAATTCGGGGGTCGAGGAACAGAGGGGACCAAGAGCGTGGGACATGGTCATGATGAGGGAAAATACGGTGTCCTGCACCTAGTAGGAGGGGGGGCGAGCAAAGCGGTAATACAGGCAAGCCGAAACGGTGATGAACAGACGACACACCGTTCCGGAGGCAGCGCCATGGAATGTGAACATGGGTGCGACGCACTTAAACTTTTCTGGCAATCGCGTATCGACTTTGTTTAGCACAAACTAAAAGCTGGAACGTTTCGCGCACCCATACAATAGCTGCTGGTGTCTGCAATGAGCTAGACAAAAGCAGAGAATCGTCAAAACTTCTGGCGGTACTACGGCCGAGACTGGCGTCTACGTTACGAGTCGTTTGGTGAAACCACTTTCACAAGTGCGGGGATACGGCAACTTCCGTAACAACAGTGGGTCACCACCATACACCCAAGACGGACACCGACAGCACACGAACACCATCCACCCGATAACAACAAACAGCCAGTAGCATCAACCATAACATCTAGCTCTCCCCGTTCACCGTAAAGACTTACACCCATCCCCTCATGTACTGTGGTTACACCTCGAACGGGTAGTCTTTGTTTCGATGGCATGCATACTACTGTTTACTGCTAAAAAGGCGGGTGGCCCTCACCTCCGCACTCGCGTAGTCTTCGTCGTCGTCTACCGCCCACGCTCGAGGGATGTGAGTCCGCACGTCTTCGGCCAACAGCTGGCCACCCAACGGAGGAGAAGCCGCGCCGGACGTATCCACCCCTTGTTCAAAGAACAAGGGGGACGGGTACCTGTGCTCCTCGGTGGGGAAAAAACCCGTCGCGGTGGCTGCTGGGCATCGCAAAACCACCCGGCAGGCGAAGAGAGGAGTCGCAAGAAGCGGCGGGAGCGAGGGGTGGGTGGCGGGTGAGGAAAAGGGGGGTGGTGGTATGTAAATGCTGGTCCACCTCTGCCGGCGCTGTTTCGGATGCTCCACGACAACGTCTGCATTATCGCGCAAACTAGGTTGTAGACTTGATCGTACGACAGAGACGTTGGGCAGAAGCATCCGTGACAATCGGCGACAGGGTTCACACGTACCGCAGCAAAAACAAGAAACCAAAGATGCTTCCCGCCCCTTCACAGTCCACAGACCAGCAACAACTCGTGACTGCAGTGCCAGTTGCACATGCGTGAATATTGCTCACAAAGAGCTGTCGGTAATCGACTACTGGTCATGCAGACGGCAGGGGTGATCCATCACAACAGCGTACAAGTCAGCCGTACAATGGCGGGATAGCACATTCGTCCAATTGGACGACCAATACATGCCACACACACACACACCTTCGTCAACTTCAGCCATGGCGTCGAAAAACTCGTCCAGGTCAGAGTCGGTGCCCGATGCCGACCCCGACCCCCCCTCGCCTGTCGCCACATCGTCGACGTCCGGCGGGTACAAGTCGAACCCGTCGTCTTCCCCGGTAACGTCCCCGACGGAACGGAACGAGCGCGCGCTCACGAAGCTCAGGATCGATCGCCGCGTGGACGCGACGCTCCCGCGGTGCCCCGTCCCGTCTAGCGACTCCTCCACTCGGCCGGGGGCGTCCCCCGACAGACGCCTCCTCGGGGCCCCCTCGGCGGACGCCGCAGCAGCCGACGTCCCCGTGCCGAGCTCTTGCGGTGGCAACAGCCGAGAAGGCAGCAGCGACGGCGACACGCGCGGGATGAAGATGGGCGGGGGGAGGCGCACACCCAGCTTCCCTCTTCCGAGACCAGGTGGCGGCGGTGCGTCGCCGGCGGCGGCGGCTTCGGCG